TACTTGTATATATTTATTACATAATGTATAATTATGTATAGTTGTATATATTTATTACATAATGTATCATTATATATAATTGTATATATTTATTACATAATGTATAATTATATATAGTTGTATATTATATTTATTACATAATGTATAATTATATATAGTTGCATATTATATTTATTATAATTATATATAGTTGTATATTATATTTATTACATAATGTATAATTATATATAGTTATATATATTTATTACATAATGTATCATTATATATAATTGTATATATTTATTACATAATGTATAATTATATATAGTTGTGTATTATATTTATTACATAATGTATAATTATATATAGTTGTATATTATATTTATTACACAATGGATAATTATATATAGTTGTACATTATATGTATTACATAATGTATAATTATATATAGTTGTACATTATATTTATTAAAATTATATATAGTTGCATGTTATATTTATTACCTAATGTATCATGATATATAGTTGCATGTTATATTTATTACCTAATGTATCATGATATATAGTTGTATGTTATATTTATTACCTAATGTATCATGATTTATAGTTGCATGTTATATTTATTACCTAATGTATCATGATATATAGTTGTATGTTATATTTATTACCTAATGTATCATGATATATAGTTGCATGTTATATTTATTACCTAATGTATCATGATATATAGTTGCATGTTATATTTATTACCCAGTGTATCATGATATATAGTTGCATGTTATATTTATTACCTAATTTATCATGATATACAGTTGCATATTATATTTATTACCTAATTTATCATTATATATATTTATATATTATATTTATTACCTAATTTATCATTATATATATTTACATATTATATATATTTATTACATAATTTATAATTATAATTTGTATAATTTAGCCAGGAAATTCAAAAATACCTAGTGAGAATATAAAAATAGGTAGGATTTTTCCATTTTAACCTTTTCCCCTCTGATTTTTTAAATCTGGAGAATCTGCTACCACTTAATATTAACAGAAGAAAACTCATAAATGGTCATCTTAGTTTATTGAAGAGTAATATGACTGAATTTTTAAATATTACATGTATTTTTACTCCTGTGTTCTGCAGTAAAAATTTTCCTAATTTCCATAAAAAATAAAATGCATTCATGTTTTATTGTATTCCACAAAGATCATCCTATATACTAATATATATTCATTGTACTATGAAATCCCTGAATTTAAAAATATTCAAGAAATGTTTCGCTATTTGCATTCAAAGATTATATGTTATACACTTTGATACTATGAAATTATATAGAGTATACACACAATATTTTAAATTTTGTTCCACTAGCTTCTTTCCAAAGCATCGAAAGGAATTATTTCTCCTTGACAGCCTGTATTCCTGTATAAGAAGTACAAATCTGCAATTGTCCTCAAGGAGAAAATTGGCAAAACATTATTGTTGTATGGTTTATTCTATATCTACTTCACCACTAAAATAATTTTGAAATAAAATCTTCACATGTGTGAAGAACATGAGTTAAGCTGCCTTAAAATAAAGTCCTGGGTCAGTGCTTAGAGGGAACATACATCAGTATAATCATTTAGCTAAAATGAATAACATAATGGAATTTTATAAACAAACTGTTTAAACCATTACGAAGTCTTATTATTTTATTCTGCTAACTCACAGAACAATAAAGTTTTTATTTCTGAGAATAAAAATTTTATATAAATTTTCAAATTCATTTCTAGTTCTGCTGTTTACCAATATTGCCATACTGAAACAAAGCAGCATATTAAGCAATATATAAATATATTAAGCAAAGAGAGCCTCACTACCTTCTTTTCCTCTTTAGTTCTAAAGTCTTGTTTTGGTCTGAATCAGAATTTGAAAACTAATCGCTTTCTGCTGGGGCCAATGGCAGCCTGGGTTATTCAAATTTGCTTCTCATGGACAACAGCTCATCATGCTGGATTAATTTTTTAAAGTTTATAGAAACATCAAAGAACCAAAATAATATAAGGAATTACCTGTCTAAAACCAGAAAGGTAAGCAGAAGCCAAAGTGAACTTTGCTCCGAAAAGATTTGATAACCCAGATTTGAAGGTAAGCTGCAGTTTCGACGACGCAGAGGAAGGAGGGCAACAGAAACAAAGAAGTCCAGGTCCCACCAAAGCTGGGAGTCTCCCCAGAGCTGCCCACCAATCCCAGCCGCACACACATTTTGCTGGGTCCCTGCAGGGATACACCCTCGGAGTAAACCTACATGAGTTACCAGCTCCACTCCCTCCACCCACAGGGCACCGTGGGGGTCTATTGCCTTGGTACTGAATAAAGTAGGGGAAAAGCATCCCTGAAAAAACCCCCTCACCATCCTTGGTGGATTTCAGCCTATATTCATATCACCAACGTGATCCAGGAAACCTCAAACCAAGAATTTAGTTTAAAATAACATGAGAAATCTCAAAAACGTTAGGGAGAAAAATGAAACTTTACTGAGTGGCATTAAAGGAAATCAAAGTAAATGGAGAACTCTGGTGCGTTCATAGATTGGTCTTGGAGATGTGGATGTAACTCATTCCAGAGATGAGAGTGAGCAAGGAGATCTTTATGAGCAAACAGGTGGCACTTTTTCCTGCTGAACCTAAACCGTCAGCTGCTGTCTTGGCAGTGTGAGACTGGGATCCACACAAACACGATGGTAACTGGTCCCAGTGATGTCTGAGTGCCAGTGAAACAGTGCTTGAAGCCAGCTCTGCAGTCTTGGGGACAAAAAATTTCCCTTTGCTTTTGAGCTGGTTTATGTTGGGTATTATTGACTCTTGTGACTCAAGGAGTCATCACCAGTGCACACCCTAATTATAAAGAGTTTATACAGAAAAATGTGAAGAAGGAAATTAAAAATCACCCCAAACCCCACTGCCCCAAAATAGTCATTGTCAACACATTGGCATTCTTCCCTCTAGATTTTCATGTGTATGTGTAGAAACCTATTATTTATGCTTACAAAATTCCTGGCATACTGCCTGTTTTGTACCCTGATTTGTTTCAGTTAACATTGTTTAACATTGTTTTATATAACCCTCATTTGTTGAATAGGCTTCAAAAATTATTTTAAGAAATGTATAAATTTTCATTATGTGAATATGCCAAAACATAATAATTGTTTTATTATTATCCTACTTTTTTTTTTTTTTTTTTTGTAGAGACAGAGTCTCACTCTGTCGCCCAGGCTGGAGTGCAGTGGCATGATCTTGGCTCACTGCAACCTCTACCTCACAAGTTCAAGCAATTCTCCTCCCACAGCCTCCCGAGTAGCCGGGACTGCAGGCGCACACCACCATGCCTGGCTAATTTCTTTGTATTTTAATAGAGATGGTGTTTCACTATGTTGCCCAGGCTGGTCTCAAACTCCTGAGCTCAGGCAGTCCGCCCACGCTGGCCTCCCGAAGTGCTGGGATTACAGACATGACATCCTACTCTTTTTTTTTTTTTTTGGTTTTTCCCAAGTTTATTAATTGAAGGTATCACTTTTCAGAGAGTGCTAGATTTATATAGTTTCTGATCCAAACCTCTTGCCCTATTAGTGCCCAGGCTTTGTCTCTTGTCCCTTTTTTCTTTTTTTACAAACCTTAACAAACCTGCACGTTATCTACATGTACCCTAGAACTTAAAGTATAATAAAAAAAAATTAAAAAAATAAAAAAAAAAGACATCCTACTCTTTTTAAGTAGCTGTTGAGTTTGAAAACTACTCCATTAGCAGAAATTTAGTAAACCATTTTTGACTCCTGGGACTCTCTCCTATTATGAGCATCGAGGATACAGAAATAAAAATCCCGATAGTCAAAGTGCACCTCGTGGGTTAGGGACCAGCCATTCTGACTCGAATGAAACCTACACCATCCGTGTAGGGAGAAGCACAGGGTCTGCGTCGACTGTCTACGTGACCCTTCTTTTATCTCTGCTATTGCTAGGGAAAAAACTGGGAATAATTATACAACCTTACTAGGTGAATCCTTTATTTAAAACAAAACAAAACAAAACAAAAACAGTGATACTACTTTAGCCAATAGCATTTCATCATACTGGCAAATTAATGAGTTTACAGCAACTAGAATTTACTGGAATTCTTTCTACTTTGAAAAGCTAACAAAAAAAGAAATACAAACTAAGTAAAATGTGCCACCTTTAGAAATTTTTTTAATGATGATTTGTAGTTAGGAAACAGAGTTTATATAAATATGCAGGTATTCACCTTGACCCTGAATGTTTTTATTTCTATTTTTATTCTATGAAAAAATTTAAAATTTGTACAGTTGCTTTTCAAGGTCACAAAAGAATAGCTTTTTGATCAGTATTATTATTTATACCAAATTCTGAAAAAATATATATAATAATATGTTAGATTGTACTATATTTTATAATTAAAGGCACTTTCACTACAATTTTCTGTTGTTGTTCCTTATAATATCTTGAGGTTATTATTTTCATTGAGATTAAAAAATTGATGTGGAGAGAATTTATAAAATATGCTCAAAGTCATACAACTAACTACATGGCAATGCTAAGGTTGGAACCCAGGTGTTCAGACTCTTAGATTTTTACTTTCAGGTGGCTATGGCTCCTGACCTTCTAAAAGGGCGACATTCACAAAAAAGTAAGTTAGCCTTTCCTGAGCCAAGTAAGGAATAAGAATCCATCCTTGAATGTGGGGAGCTGAGAGCAGTTCTGAAGATGAAGATTTCAGCCACCCCGTGGACCCTGTAACTTCCTTCCTGCTCTTTCTCCTCCTCTGGTAAGAATGGGTGAGAGAGAAGAGTTCTCCTAATCCAGAGTGTAATTAACCTCCACTGCGTTCCTCTTGAGAAGCACAAGTTCTGGCCAGCCAACAAGTGGTCTATTTAAAGTAAGAAAGATAAAGGGTGAAAATGGAAAGGTGGCCTGGCAGGTGGGGGGCCTCCAGTGTCCAATCTGCTGTCCAACCGGCTGAGCTCTTTTCGCCCTGGAGTAGGGGGATCCTGTTTTTGTTATTGATAAGTTCTGGTTGTCTTTTGGACAGCCGCTTGCAGGGGAGAGATCCAGCACAATTGCAAGGAAATGTATTTCGTTTTTTGGAAGTTTAGAAAGTGGAACAAAAAATGATTTGTCTTCCACATCCATTATTTATGTAGGAAAATGTGTCTATTAAGAAGAAGGAAATTCTTTAGGAGAAGGAAATCACTTCATTTAACTGGTAAGACTATAAAATGCTTTCTGGAGATAGTATTGCAATTTTTAACTTCTGAGTGAATTGAAAAGTCCTAGAAATAAGCAGAATTTTCAGAAAATGTGGTTGCCAACCAATACGCCCACAGCTTCGTAGAACTAGATCGGAAGCCTCACATATGACCTGCTATGGCATGAAATGTAAATCATATGAGGCTGCTGGAGAAGTTTATACTATGAATGGTTAGTGATAAGAACGTGAATTGAACCGTGGTCTTAGGTCTGCAGTTGGCTTGCATGGCTTTTACTTTCGGGGCCTATTTTTTTAAAAAATCAACTCATGTGAGTTCCAGAAAATAACAATATCTCATACTCTCTGTTTCCAATTTAGTTTAATTTAATAGATATCCACATAATGAAGATGCTGAGAGATAGACCTGAGGACAAAGAGGGGGAAGGAAGCTCCAAGATGGAGCTACTTGTGACCCACGGGAATCTAAGGTATTACTATTTGATGTGTCTTCTTCAGGATCAACTAGAGAACAAGCGTACACCAGAAAACGATTCTTCTCCTCACTTGAAAAGCAAATGCAAGTTGTTATACTGTGCAATAGGAAGCACTATGAAGAAATAGCCAGGACCTAGCATATCTTAAATTTTAAGGGGAGGAGGGGGAAACGCCCCCTCCAAAAACTAAGTGACTCAGAAAAGCAGGAGATAGTCACCTAAAAGTTTGCTTGTTTAAGAATGGATAGGGGAACAGGATTCACAGCTATAGTCAGTATTGCAAACGGGAAGTGTGGACAGATGGGAGGCAGAGTCCACCCAGCATCTTATCAATCCCAGCAGGATTACTGCGGGCCTCCAGGATGGCTCCCACGGAGTCCCACCTTCCTCTGCATGTGCCCTGTGTCATCTCTTCCCATAGCCAAGCCTCAATCAAATCCCTGACCCACAGAAACTGCAAGGGGTAAATATTCACGGCTGTTTTCAGCCACTGGATGCTGGGGTTAATTTGTTACACGGCAATAGATAACTAACACAGTGGTGCAGTGTGGGAATAAGGTCAAGAATGAGGGGTTGCAAGCCAAATGGCTAGGTAAGCCCTTGAGAACAGTCATATGAAAAATCTGAGAAAACGTCTGTGCAAATTAGACGGGGGTCACTCTCACCTCGCTTTGCGTAGGAGGAGAACAAAGCTCTGAAGCCTTACTACCCAAAACAGATTCCTCAGAAAGTCTGGGGAAACCTGTGTTCTCACCAAGTCTACCCACTCCATGGGAAACATGATCTAACTGTTATCTCAAGATTGGGACATGATGCAATGCCAGGGTTTCTTTCCCTGGTTAACTCCCCCCGGTGTTGCTGACATACCAGTTCTGTCAGAGAGCCTGGTCAACCCGAGTCAGGGTTAGGTGCCCCCTTCCCAGCACCCTGTCTTTTCCCTTGCATGGGACTTTCTTGGTTTTGTAATTGCTCTTTTACTTCTCTCTGGGCTGTGCTGGGCTCCTGAGCCAGTCCTGGGAGGAAGGGGCCATGTGGCATTGACATGCCTGGCAGCCTGGAAAGAAAGCCAAGGCTGTGAGAGGCAAGGTGACCTCTGCGTGACATTAGTTCAGCAGGCCGGTGACACACAGAGCAAGAATTGGATCTTTCAATGCTTAGTGCAGCATTCTCCCTGCTAAGCCACACAGTTCGTCGCTACTTTCAAGCAGTGTTTAAAAACACGAGATCTAGGCCGGGCACAGTGGCTCACCCCTGTAATCCCAGCACTTTGGGAGGCCAAGGTGGGCAGATAACCTGAGGTCAGGAGTTCGAGACCAGCCTGGCCACCATGGTGAAACCCCATCTCTACTAAAAATACAAAAATTAGCCAGGCATGCTGGCGGGCGCCTGTAATCCCAGCTACCTGGGAGGCTGAGGCAGGAGAATTGCTTGAACACAAGAGGCAGAGGTTGCGGTGAGCAGAGATCGCACCACTGCACTCCAGCCTGGGTGAGAGAGTGGGACTCCATCTCAAAAACTAAAAACATTAAAAAAAAATTTTTTTTAATGCAAAAATTAGCTGGGCATGGTGGTGTGTGCCTGTAATCCCTGCTACGTGGGAGGCTGATGCAAGAAAATTGCTTGAAGCCGGGAGGTGGCGGTTTCAGCGAGCCGAGATTGTGCTGCTGTACTCCAGCCTGGGCGACAAGGGGGAAACTCTGTCTCAAAAAACAAAACAAAATAAATAAACGTGTGATCTAAAGGAACGATCTAGAAGGCATGTTCACGTGGTCATTTTCATGGGTGTCAGCAGTCTCCGCTGCATGTACATACAACTCCTTTGAAAACCTTTCTTCAGATTGGTAACTCTTCGTCTTTTCTGTCCTTCCCTGTTCCCATGTAACCTCACTGCTCAGTTCACTCAGGGGTGGCCAAGGCTTTGAGGGCAGCGCCCGGAGCTAATCTATTTGAAAAACGCCTCCTGAAGTCAGGGAGCGCCTTCCCTGCTTCTCCTCTGTTGTCCTTGACAATCACTCTTAATTGGTTTGCACCAGTGCTCTGAAATCTTCCTAGTTTACAGCACTGAGAACTTTTTGAGAAACAAGCATAAATGCTCCTTAGTTATCAGCAGAGAGGCTTGGCCCTCAGAGATTGTGATCAAGCATCCAAAGTCCATCGAATGGTAACACATTTCCCTGCCAATCCCCAGTCCCCAGCCAGAGTTGTTTTGCAGGCAGGGGAGCCGGGGGACTGACAGAGCCCCCAACACACGTGGCCATGTGATCCACTGCCTCAGAAGGTCCCCAGGAAATTTGGTAAATTTGCTACGGCTCCCGTTGTAAATGACAGCTAATGGTTACAACTGAGATTTTCATGGCATATCTATAAAACAAAGAACTTTTATATCTTGTAAAATTGAGCAAGTGTGGTATTTCCCAGAGCAATAAATTCAGCCGTTTTCCTCCCAAGAACTTTGGAATTTTGTTAACCAAAGTAAACCACACTATGTACAGGGCTGCTGAGATGAAACAAAGGAAAGTATTTTTAGTTATGTTTCTCTTTAAGGAGATTTACCACATTTCATTACTCTGCTGCCTACTATTGCTCTGTGGTCCCTAAGGAAATAAGTAGATGAAATTGAGAATAAAAACAACATAAAGGAGGATATTCAATACCCCATGTTGCATATACTCAATCGGGTCACACAGTGATTAAATTTAGCTCTAGTTAACCTGATTTCAAGTGCGGTTCAATTCTGGGGCTATGAAAAACAGAATACTTGTTCTAAATTATCAGAAAATATTTATATTGAAACACGTAGTTTTGAGTTTCCCTGCTGTATAGGAATACTAACACACAGAAGGCAGGTTCTACTTTCAGAGATCACCGAACATGGCATTTGCCATCAATTTCACAACTTTATTTAGCCAAGGAGAACATTAACCTGCACTCCTCATTGATCACCTCTTCACACACGTGTGTACACACACACACACCCATCTGCAACATCTCGGCCCTGTCGTGTCTAGGAAAGAATATAGATTTCCATCGTCTGATGGGAACTGTGACATTTTGACAGGCAGCTCCATTTAGATTTAGTCCTCCAAAATTTTGCGAACCTTGAATGTGTTGTCACGTTGTTTGGAAAGAGGCTCCAAATTGTGGAAAATCTGAGTAGGTCAAGAGAAAGAATTTTCAGACCCTTAAAGCTGATGATATAACCAGGCTGTGGAATTTCTTCCTGGGGAAAGGGAGGACTGGGGTTTCCAAATCAGATTGGCGCTGTCTTGCCTGAACTGGTTTTAACTAGTAATTCTGCAAGGAAAGTATGGAGATGCCCCAGGTGTCCCCTCAAGATTCCTCAAGCCTGCCTGCGGTTGACTGAGTCACAGGACACAGAACAGAAAGGGATCTTCCTCCTTGTGAGCCCAGAGCCTCCACGTGGCAGGGAGGGAGGTGGAATATGAGGACGCCATGCAGTTCCCACTCACACGATGAGTATGAGCAAATACCACGATGTCACTTTGTGTATTTCCATCTTCCTCTTGTTTCTTTTGAAAAGTTTTGATTGTGAATAATATCATGGATTCAAGAGAGTTCATGCAGTCATATGTACAATTGAAAGGATAATAGTGAATAATAATGAAACAGAGACCTTGCACTCTCTCCCAGGCTGAGACAGACCCCCGCAGGCACTGCAGAAGCTTCCTAAGGGCTCTTCCAGGGGTCGCCCTTGCTTTTCTTTAGGGTTTCACCACTGATGTGTCCATCTCTATACAGTACATCTGAATGTCATCTAAATGGACTCAATACTGTATGTGTTTTTCTGTGACTTTTTTCTTTTTTTCAACATTATGTTTTGAAGTTCAACCATGACAATGCCTTAGTTGTAGTTTATCCATTTTCCTTTAGATATACAATCTCATCATATGAATCTACCATAATTTATCTACTCCACCGTTGAAGCAATTTGGATCATCCCCAGTTGTCATTGTCATTTGTTTGTTTTTGTTTGTGTGTGATTTGCACATGCGTAAGTTTCTCTGGACACTAGAGGTGAAAGTGAAGGGAGGGCTACCTTTAAATTGAAGTGGCATTTGAGCCGAGTCCCCAGCGGTAAGAAAGAGGCAGCCACATGAACAGAGCAGAGTGCTCCAAACAGGAGCGAAGCGTGCCAAGGCTGCGGTGAGAAGCTTGGGGTGCTAGAGGAAGAACAAGAAGGCCCTAGCGGCCAGTGCATTGGGATCCCAGGGGAAAGCCATAGAGATGAGATCTAAAAGGCAGACCAACGCAAGATCACACAGACCAGTCAAGGCTGGATGCAGTGAGTGGAGTACAGGGGCTATTCTGGGTAACATGTAGGGAATGGATTATACTTGTACAAAACAGAAGGCAGGAGGGCCATTAGGAGGCTGTTGAAATAATCCAGGCAACATGCAATGGTGGCTTAGATAAGAGGAGCCAGAGGTGGAGAGATGAGAACGAACTGAAAACTTTTGGAAAGAGAGAGATGCCTTTGTTGCTGGGTTGGACATGAAGGGTGAAAAAAAAAAAGAGAGCAATTGAGCTTGAGTCCTGAATTCCTGCCTTGAGAAACCAGGTGACTGTAATGGTGGGTACTGGAGATGTGGAAGGCTAGGGGAAAGGCAGAGGTATTTTAGAGATATGAGGAAAATAAAACTTTTGTGTTAGCGATATTAGGTTTGAGATGCATAATAGACACCCAGAGAGTAGCTGGCGGGCAGTTACGGCGCTGCCTCTGAGAAAGGTCTGGGTTGGAGAAGTCAGCGTGGTATCATCAGCAGATCCCTGGTACTCAAAGCCATGGGAGAAAATAAGATTACCCCAGGAATGTCTAGAAAAGAAGAGGTCCAAAAGGAAACCCTTAAGTACTCTCAACAGTTTTTAGACCAGATGAGGGAGAAAAGCCAGCAGAGGATGCAGGGGTGAGAGGAGAGGCAAAAGGGTTGGGGTGGCAGAAGCCAGGAGCTGAGAGTGTGTCTGGGAAGCCAGGAGCTGAGAGTGTGTCTGGGAAGCCAGGAGCTGAGAGTGTGTCTGGGAAGCCAGGAGCTGAGAGTGTCTGGAAGGAGGGTTTGCGCTACTGAATGCTGCCAATGGGCTAGAGAAGATGAGGACAGAGGCGTGGATCTGATCAGCAATGGGTGGTCACCTTGGAGAAAGCAGTTTTAATTCAGGGGTAGGGGACGTACCTGGTCAGCATGCATGGGAGTGAACACTAGGTAAGGAAATGGGGACTGTAACCAAGATCAGATCTTCCCATAATAAGTGTAGCTTTCAAGGGAGCCAGGGATATCAGGGTAAAGCTGGAGGGGAATGCAGAGTGAGAAGAGGGCTTTTGTTCGTTTGTGATGGAGACTATTAGAGAATGTGTGTACAGATGGGAAGAATTCATGGGAGAGGGAGACGTTGCTGGAGCAGGAGAGAACGTGGCTAACTGCAGGGATGAGGTCCTGAGAAAGCAAAAGATGGCCCAGAACACAAGAGGAGAAGGGGACTTGTGATTCAAGCCGAGATGCTCACACAGAGTAATTTATATTAGTAAAAAAAGTAGGAGCAACCTAAATGTGCAACAATAGAAAAATAGTTGTTTAAAAAGTTATAGCATATCCACAAAATAGAAAGTTATAAAAATTACTTTTTTTTTGAGACAGAGTCTTGATCTATCGCCCAGGCTGGATTGCAATGGCATGATCTTGGCTCACTGCAACCTCTGCCTCCAGGGTTCAAACCATTCTCTGGCCTCAGCCTCCCAAGTAGCTGGGATTATAGGTGCCCGCCACCACGCCCAGATAATTTTTGTATTTTTAGTAGAGACAGGGTTTCACCATGGTAGCCAGGCTGGTCTGGAACTCCTGACCTCATGATCCGCCTGCCTTGGCCTCCCAAAGTGCTGGGATTACAGGCATGAGCCACTACGCCTGACCAAAAATCACTTTTTTGGGTTATGATGTATGTGAAAAAAGTAATCTACAAAAAATTCTAATTTTGAGAAGAAAAATACACATCTGTCTGTACATGTACAAAAAGTATGAAAAGAAATGCATCAAGACATTACCAATGGGCTGGGAGCAGTGGTTCACGCCTGTAATCCCAGCACTTTGGGAGGCCAAGGCGGGCAGATCATTTGAGGTCAGGAGTTGAGGCCAGCTTGACTAACATGGTGAAACCCCACCTCTCCTAAAAGTACAAAAATTAGCCAGGTGTGGTGGCGAGCACCTATAATCCCAGCTACTTGGGAGACTGAGGCAGGAGAATTGCTTGAACCTGGAAGGTGGAGGTTGCAGTGAGTCGAGATCATGTCATTCCACTGAAGCCTGGGCAACAAAGCAAGACTCTGTCTCAAAAAAAAAAGACAGTACCAGTGATTATTTTGTGTATTATTTTGGGTGACCCATTTTTAAATACTTTTAAAAAGTGTCCAAACCATCCATAATGAATGTGAATTATTTGTATTATCAAGGAAAAGATCATTCATATTATTGTTTTTTTTAAAAAGGTGGTATGAGGCACTGCATTTTGTCTTCAGGCCGGATAGCTATTTCGTTTTGTTTGATATATGCAAAAATACCACAGGAGTGATAATGTTAAATTTAGGTTAATTCTACTTCGATTTTCTTGTCTTATTCTTACCTTATCTGTTTTATCTCCTTTGTGGCTTTAGGCCTGTTTCACTCAGAGATGTCACATTATGGCTTGTGCCGTTTCTAGTGCACTAGGAAACCTCCCAGATCCTTTTGAACATGCGAAGCTAAAAAGTAAAGAGTCCAGTCAGAAAAGCCTAACAGGAACCTGCCAGATAACTTCACCCCAGTGGCGCTCATTAAAGGGGGTGACTACATTGGAGGACCCTGTACACTTCCAGGGAATCCCAGTAACATGTTTAACTGAGAAATGACAGTTTTAAGGAACTGAAGCCCCCAAAGCAGATCCATTTTCTCAGTGATGAATACTTCAGTAGCTACTGGAGCCAGGACAAGTGGCTTCTCAGGAACCTCATGAGCCCCCAACAGAATTCAGGGCTGCTATTAAAAAAGAAAGACAAATGGATGCTGGGAGATGCCCAATGTTGACTGCGAACTGTGATCCAGGAAAGCTGATCTTCTCAACCTGTAACCACAAACTCAGTGGTCATGTTTCCAGTAAAATAGGCTTTCACTCATTTGTCAAATAGATATTAAACACTCAATAAGTGCCAGAAACTGTGCAGGGGGACAGATAAACAATCTGATACACAAGACGAGACCCATCTGCTAGGGAAGACAGACAATTAAAGAAATCACCAGCATAGGTTAAATGCCACCACAAAGGAAGTACAATGAGCTAGAACGGAAGCATATAGCAGGACCCAGGCTTCCAGAAAGAAGAGAAATTCCATGGGTGGGAATTAGCAGGGTGAATTGGAAATAAGAGTGGTCAGGCAAGGCAATGTCTGTGAGATGGCCCAGAGAAGACCATGAGAGCTTTAAGGAACTAGAGACATCAGTAAGGCTGAAGTGCAAGGAGAAAGTAGTGGTGAGAGGCACAGCTGACCAGAAAGAACTGGGGATTTGGGATTGGATATGACTTAAGATAGGAGGATCTGGAGGCTGTGACAGCAGAACAGAGGGAAGGAAACTGATTAAGAGTTGTTTAGGAAGTACAATTGACAGGACTTACTATTAACTGAATATGGTAAAAGCTTAGATGACTGACGTTAGACTTTTCTTTGCCAATAAAAGCATGAAATGCTATAAATATTTCTCAAATCACTGCTTTAGCTATATCTCATGGTTTTGACACATTATATTTTCATTTTTATTCAGTTTAAAATACTTTCCAATTTCTGTTTAGAAGCTTATTAATTTCCAAATATTTGTGGCTTTTCCATATATTATATCTTTCTCTTATTGCTGTTTAGTTTTATTCCACTGTGGTTATCTATTTTAAATTTATGTAAGCTTATTTTATAGCCCAATGTATGATCTGGTGTAGCAAGTGTTTTATGAGCACTTATGAAAATATGTATTCTGCTGTTGTTGAGTAAAGTCATCTATAAATGTCAATGAGGTCAATTTGATTAATACTGTGTTTGAGTCTTTATATTCTTACTGATTTTTTATTTACTTGTTCTATAAATTATTCAGAAATTAGTTTGATTCCCTTGAGGTTTACTTATAAGCTTTTTTGGGCCTAGAGTAGCCTTTATTCCAGGACTGATTTGACTCCTCTTCCAAGTCATGGTCTTTCTGGGGCTTGTTCTAAATGCCCCATATATTCAGTGGGGTCTCTCTCTCTGGCTAGAGGGAACTTGAGTGATTTTTGGCTTTGCAATTTTAGGGAATTGTTCATTTTAGAACTCCTTGCTGGGTGCAGTGGCTCATGCCTGTTAATCCCAGTGCTTTGGGAGACCGAGGCTGGCAGATCACTTGAGGCCAGGAGTTTGAGACCAGCCTGGCCAGCATGGTGAGCCTTCATCTCTACTGAAAATACAAAAATTAGCGGGGTGTGGTGGTGGGTGCCTGTAATTCCAGCTACTCAAAAGGATAAGGCACAAGAATCCCTTGAACATGGGAGGTGGAGGTTGCAATGAGCCGAGATCATGCCACTGCACTGCACTCCAGCCTGGGCGACAGAGCGAGTGAGACTCCATCTCAAAAAAAAAAGAACTCCTCATAATTACTCTTTCACCAGAAGCTTTTCTTATCTGGCCTTATATTTCTATAGACTTGTGTTTTTAAAAGATTCCATGAACTCCTGTGCAGATTTCTGGAGTGCTTTTATCTGTGTAGCCCCTTCCCTTGAGAACTCTGCCCCACAGGTTCTTCACGGAGCCGCTTGACCTTCCCGTTCTCTGACCTCTGTCTCTTCAGCTCTGTGAAGCTGCCTCACCGTTTGGGAGTTCTCCCTCCCTGGACTGTAGCCCAGGAGTTACCTCTCGGCAGAAAGGCCAGCTGATGGTAGGGCTCACCTTGTTTTCTTCCTTTTTCTCAGCAATCACAGTCTTGTTTTGCCCTATATCCAAATAGTTGCTTTCTATATTCTATCCTTTTTTTATAGTTGCTTACAGAGGGAGGGAGATCACAGGCCGTCTTACTCCCTCATGGCCAGAAGCATGTGTACCCTCATTAATGAGATCCAGAGACTATGGAGAAAGCAATGAGTCAGGGACAGTTTAGAGGCTCCTGCCATGAGCAAGCAGGTGGATGATGGTCCCATTCATGGAGATGACAAAATCCAGGGTGATAAACATGGGTAGGGGAGGGCACGAAAGAACCCCTTGGGTTTACTGTTGCACGTGTTGGATCTGAGTTAATTCCAAGTCATTAAAGAAGCGAGAAAGCAGCGGAGCTTACAGGACAACTCCCTCAGGCGCTTTCACCTGTCTCTTCATTCCACCCTGGGCTGCAGTTGCCATGCGCTAGTGACCCCTTCCCAGGGTAATCAGCAGTGATTATACCCACTTATTTTAGAAGAAAAGTGTATTTGTGAAATTTAGTTGGGATAATCCTGCCCCCCAGTCTTCCAAAATATTAGGGTGCATGGCCCAGCATTGGTACACTTCCCAAAGGCTGGATTGTCCTTCCTAAACAACACAACAGATGAAACACCAGTAACCTAGAGCAAGTTGCACAGCTGCAAGCTCAGTTCATTCCTTCCTTTTTGCATAGCAAGACCCCAAGCCCAGTTCACTCCTTCCTTTTTACAAGTTGCACAGCCCCAAGCCCAGTTCATTCCTTCCCTTTGTTTCCCCCCTGATCTGACCTTAACTTACTTTCCCTCCTCTCTTTGTCTCTTTTTCCTTTACAATGATCTCTCCTCCAGCGCAGAGAAGTGAAGAGAAGGCCAAGCTATCAGGGTTTCCTACAGCCTGCATCAACTCCACAAAAATAAGCAATAAAATATTTGCACATTGTGGTCTATATCCGTATTTGGGAAAGAAAATTATTCTTAAAAATTTTTCCAAAGAATCACAATCTGCAGCAATGTAACTCGGCCCACGATAATTACAACCTTTACATTATTATCCAAATGGGTTAGCTCCTTGGAGGGAGGGCCGCATTCTGGCTTCTTCCTGGAGGAGGTTCATACCCCACTGGGGTGATTTCCAAGAATAAAGAAGGCCTCAAAAACAAATTCAAGTTTCTGTCCCTTAGGAGGCAGGAAATCGCGGAACTTTAAATTTACAGCTTTTAAATATTCTCTCTTCATTAAGGACGTGTGTGTGTGTGTGTGTGTGTGTGTGTGTGTGTGTGTGTGTGTATGTATGTATGTACCATTTATATATAAATAAAGCCGGCCAGGAGTGGTGGCACTTTGGGAGGCTGAGGGGGAGCGGATCACCTGAGGTCAGGAGTTCGAGACCAGCCTGGCCACCATGGTGAAACCCTGTCTCTACTAAAAATAAAAAATAAAATAAAATACATAAAAATACATTAAAAAAATTAAAAAATTAGCTGGGTGTGGTGGTGTGTGCCTGTAGTCCCAGCTACTTGGTAGGATGAGTCACAAGAATCGCTTGAACCTGGGAGGCAGAGCTTGCAGTGAGCCGAGATCGTGCCACTGCACTCCAGCCTGGGTGACAGAGTGAGGCTCTGTCTCAGAAAAAATAAATAAATAAAATAAAACCTTGGGATCTGGCCTCGACCTGTGTTTTATTACTATTGTTTCATAAGGAAGAGAATCCTGTATTAGGCTGTGTGCACTGGCTAGAAAATGCAGATTTTGCTTTGTTTTCTATAAGTGGCTACAGCATAAAAATAACCTCTGAATCCCAATGGGCATCTACTGATATCTAATGCCAGCTCCTTTTTCTAATTATAATGGTCCCTGGAAAGTGTTGTTCAACTTCATTGTTACAACACTGGAATTCTAATAACTTTGGAGACACTGTGGTCGTTTCTCCTGTTGCAGAAGAGTTAGAATACGATTTAATTGGGTGACAGCTGTCCTCAGGAAATGCGGGTAAAGTTCTTGCCTTGTAAGCTAACAATCAAAGGAGTAGTTGACAAAAATACAGTGAAGAAATTCTGGAGCTGGTAGTTTGAATTCCTGTAAGTCCTTAAAATTACAAATTTTAGGGAACCTGGTGGTATTTAGAGAAGAAAACAGAGCTTTTTTTTCCTGCCAGTCAGAATTGTGTACTCTGAAAGAGCAAGTGGGATGAAGAAAGGGCTATAAAGTGAGCTATGGTGTCCAGTGGTAGCCTGCTACAGCTTCACCTCAAAACAGCTTGAGGAAATGTTTTATTCTCCGGGTCCTTAAAACCATGATCTCTACCCACACTCCCTAACTAGAAAGTTTTAGCCACATCTGTCCCTCATCTGAGAACACCACATTTGTGCCTCTGTCAACATCTTGAGTAGCTCTGTGCCAGCAGCCACCCTTGCAATTTAGTTCATTCCTCCATCAGGCTCCAGTTTGGAATCAAGTCCTGATTTGACCACAGCCTCATGGGAGATGCTGTACACTGTCTAGTCATGCTCATGACCACTGGAAACCTCCACACGCCATGCAGCTGCCCAGCCTGGGCACCCACAGCCCAGCTTCTCTCCACATGCAGACCTGTCCTCCCTGACTGCTGGCCCAGCTCCTGCAGTCACCCAGCAGCTACCAGAGGGCCCGGCCAAAAATCACACAAGACTTCTACCCAAGTTTTCTAAAATAAGATTGCTTATAAATGCCACTGTCAACCATGTTCAAGGTTTCAACTTCTTAATTTCTGCCAGCATTTCTACCTTAGAGGCTTCCACCAGCTTCCTGCCAGGCAGTCTTCATCTGTCCCCCGATGGACCACTGAGGACCTTTCTATCTGCACAAGGTAAGAGGCAGGAGCTGGAGGGTTTCCTCTAAGACGATTCTGTGGAAGAAAATCCAGAAGACAATATGTGGAAATTATTAGAGAGGAGATTAGGATCCAACAGGACGTGCTATTGTGTCTGTTGCCTCAGCCCGCCCCCCAACAACAAAGACTTCTCTACCCAAAATGGGAAGAGCACTGAGGTTCAGAGACCCTGAGCTAGAGAACATGAAGGTACACCTGCTGACCCGCCTCTCCTCAGAACTACAGAGCTATAAAAACTACATTTTCTGTAACCCAAAGTTCCAGAAAAATAGGACCTAGTCTACACCAGCGGTCCCCAACCTTTTTGGGAACAGGGACTGGTTTCACAGAAGACAATTTTTCCACAGACCAAGGTTGGGGGATGGTTTGAGGATGCTTCAAGCCCATTACATTTATTGTGCACTTTATTTCTATTACTATTGCACAGTAATATATAGTGAAATAATTACATAACTCACCATCCTGTAGAATTAGTGGGAGCCCTGAGCTTGTGTTCCTACAATTAGATGGTCTCATCTGGGGGTGATGGGAGACAGTGACCGATCATCAGGCCTTAGATTCTCATAAGGAGCCTGCAGCCTAGATCCCTCCCGTGTGCTGTTCACAGCAGGGTTTGCACTCCTATGAGATTCTAATGCTGCCCCTGATCTGACAGGAGGCTGAGCTCAGGCAGTGATGTGAGCGATGGCGAGCGACTGTAAACACAGGTGAAGCTTGGCTCACTTGCCTGCCACTTCACCTCCTGCTGTGTGGCCCAGTTCCTAACAGGCCATGGACAGCTACTGATCCATGGCCAAGGGGTTGGGGACTCCTGATCTACAGGATATGTTTACATTGGAGAAAAATAACTTGAACACACAGCATACCTAATAAAGACTAACAAATGGCCCAGACAATAAGTGCCCCGAGTTCAGTGGAAAAAGAGGGTCCTCCTGGGACCTGCTTCCATCTGGCACAGGTAGAGAAGATACCTCTGTGAATTGCAGACTTGAGAAGAACCCTGAGAGATGGATAGGAGAGGCAAAAGAAGGACATTGGCAAATGTCTGGTGCTGGAAATTTACACATGTGTTGGAAGGCAGGGAGTAGACCAGCTTGTCTAGAATGCGGGATTGTGAAGAGAAGCGGTAGGAATTTAGGTTGTAATGGTGTGTTGGGGGCCTTCAGGTGGCTTGGGATTTTACTCAAAATGATTTTTTTTGAGACGGAGTCTCACTCTGTCACCCAGACTGCAGTGCCGTGGCGCAATCTTGGCTCACTGTAACCTCCATCTCTCGGGTTCAAGTGATTCTCCTGCCTCAGCCTCCCGAGTAGCTGGGATTACAGGCGCCCGCCACCACGCCTGGCTAATTTGTATATTTGTAGTAGAGCTGGGGTTTCACCATGTTGGCCAGGCTGGTCTTGAACTTCTGACCTCAAGTGATCCACCCATCTTGGTCTCCCAAAGTGCTGGAATTACAGGCATGAGTCACTGCTCCCAGCCGACAGTGATTTTATTATAATCACTAGAAAGCATCCAGTGAGTTTCTAAAATAAATGATAAAGGTGAGAAGGGTGACGTGCATTTTGAGTTCTCCTCCCGCAGTCATGGAGCTGCTAACAATTCTATTTCATGCCTCTGCTGCCTTCTCCCTAGACCCGAGACAAGCAGACGTCCTCACGCTGCCAGTAAGAGATGGCAGCAGAGGGGGAAGAAAGGAATGTAGGTTTTTTCAACCATGGGAGCCAACACCAGGGAGCCTTATATCCCCACTATCCTGCTTTCATCCAAGCAACACACATTTATTACCAACTGTGTACAGATGCTTTGAACATTGATTCATTACGGAATCATAAATCTCGGGTAAGAAGGAGCCTAAGATGTAATCCGGGGCCTTAACCAAGGGCCTTCAATGAACTTAAGTACAAATAAACCCCTGATGTGAGTGAGCCTCCAAGGCCACAAGAAGAGAAGAGAGTTTGTTTCCTACCTGTACCGGGCAGGCCTGTAGCCAGAAGCCCTGGGCCAGTGCGGGCAGGGGCATGGCTTTCAAACTGTGGCCAGCAGTGGCGGTGGGATTGTCTTGCTGCACATTTTCAAACTGTAGAAACAGCACCGTGTGGCACCGTTGGTGTTTGTTAAGACACTGGATACCAGGAATTCCAAAAACTAACCCTGCCGCAGCAGCCCTGCATCCCCATTGCCGGGTAAGGATCATGGTTGGACTGTGAGGCCCATCAACACGTGAAAACTAAAACAGACCCCATGGTCACCTCCCCATGGTCACCTCTGCGGGAGAATCAAGCTCACCTGGCTGTAAATGGCAAGAGTGACTCTTTTCCCTCAAAACTGCTTTTAGACAAAGACCGCTGCTTGCCTGAGGTCACAAAGGCCGTCCTTGTCAGACAAAGCTTCTGAGAGGCTCAACATCGGCTGAGCGGTGCCCTCGTCCTACTGTGGGAGCCGCACCAGGGAAGAATAGAGAGAAATGCTGCTCCCCTGTGTCCTTCTAGTCAATCGCTTTGGCTCCGGGGGACAAAGTAACAGGAAACCATTTCTAAACCCTCCTTGTTTACCAGGTGCCAGCTGTTAGTGGCCGGTGAACCAGGGCCCCCATCTGTATGGGGAAGGGCAGCTTGCCAACAGTTTTTTGTGTCAAAACTGCTAACAATGCCCCGTCCAACTCCCTCTTCCCCACGGGTGAGCAGTCCTCCTTATGAACATCTGAGCCCCGCGCCATAACTTCAAGTTTTTAACAGGCTGTATTTGAGTTCTGTAAGACTCAGCCATATTCATGTTGAGATGTAAATCTCACATCGCACCCATGGCCGTTCTCTCCCCGCAGAGCAGACCCAGACCAGCCCCGGGAGATTGTGAATTGTGTGCGTTATGGGGAGGGGCGGGAGGAAGGCAGGGGGCAGGCGCTACTCTTTCCCCTTCTCTCTCCTGGCTCAATCTGTAATAGCGGCCAGGGAGGACCAAGAGAGACAGACAGTTCATCTCCAACCCAACAGCCCTGGCAAAGCCTCTCCCTCTGGGCTGATCCTGGCTTCACTTCCAGCCGTGGGTCTGAGGGCGACTGTGCAGGCTACGGGCCAG